TCATGGCCCTGTTCCTCTCCTCCTAATCTGTGGGTACAATTGAGGTGAACCTCTATGAGACTGTGAAAGGAGAAAATAACTTAAAGTTCCACACCTCAAATTTAGTGCAGAGTTTACTTCTAAAAAGCAGAATAATACTGAATTCTATACTTCCATATAACTCCATGATGAGATCCTTTCCAATTAAATGCATTCCCCTTCAGTTAAGATCAAATCAAATAACCATATCTTCTGATCATCATAAAAGCTTCAGTGATTTGAAACAAGTTGCTGCTCATCATAAGTAGTTTGCTTTAAAAAAACCTTAAACGCAACAGATGGAAGGTAACAGAACTTTGACTGCTCCTATGGAAGCCCAAGAATAGGGAGTTTGTTAATGGTTTGCTTTTCTCTCTAGAATTAGTATTTTTTGTTATTTACACTATGTTGACATTTGGTTCAATTTTCTCTCTGAACATAGAAGAATAAAACTGGATAAAACTGCTTGGCTCCAGCAACATCATAGAAGGGGTCAGGGAATGAAGAATGACACGGGTTTATTTTTGGGTTTTTACCACTGTGCTACTCCTCTCTTTTTAACCAAGAGCCAGGATATAGGTGGGAATGCTGTGCTCTTTGTGACGTCACGTCATTACGGATACTGTGTCTCTGGTGCACAAATTCCTTCCTTCCACTAAGAATAATAAATTCCTTCTTCTTTTGTGGATAATGCAGCGTGGTCTCTATAGAGGAGGGCTGAATTAACATTTCCCTAATGGGATTTTCCTCAGCTTCAGCTTCAGCATGACCATCACCACTGGCATTGTGTGATAACAAGCATGGACAGTGTCACACCCTCTGCAGAATTTAGTTCAGCACAATTCATATCCTGACTTGAGCAGATGTTTGACCATTATTGTTTAATATGCAAATTCTGGTACAGAAAGAAGCCTAAACCAGTCTGCACTGAGCAAGCTCCTGCAGGGCTCTGCAAACCCAGGCAGCAGGACTTTGGGCAGTGGTCTTTCCTATCAACAGATGGAGGCAGTGAGGAGTAGTTACCCTGCTGAGAACACTTCACTGAGTAGTTCAACCTACTGGTTTGGTTTTCAGGAAAGACTTGAAAAAGGCTTCTCTAGAGATCTATCAAAAGTATGCAAAGACGTTACAAAAGGTGGAAATTTAGATTTCCATCTTTTAAATGCCGCAAGTAGAAAAAAAAGTGAAAAATTTTAAAATCACGTTCTTAGATCAAGTTCTATTATGTATTTTCAGCTTCGTTTAGGGTAAAACAAGCTGTAGTGTTTTTAAATTAATAGAAACCGCTTAATTTTTTGAAAGGTTTTTTTGAGTGTAATTAGTTTTAACAGATAGAACTTCTCGGAGTCCAAGCCTCCTCCTGCACAGCTTCACTGCCCTCTGTGCACCAGAAGAACGTGCTACAGATCTGTGCAAGTGTTTATAGATAAATAAAGAAATATATAACATGCAAACCATATATTTTTAAAATCTTGATATATCTGATACCTCAGATTATAGATTTAACAGTTTAAGAATCACAGGATCTGCCCCTCTAAGGTTTCCCTTTGGAATTTGCTCCTTTTGGCACTCAGACAGGGAGAACTTTGTCAGCCTTCATAACACATTGCAAAGCCAATCATTTCCACCAAGATTTGGCTGCACAGTACTAAACAAAGGCTTATTTTCCTAATCATTGATTTGTTTTCTGACGGATGGTTAATTGGAATAGTCCTGACCATTGTGGGCAGTTTTGAATTGAAGGATGTTTTCTGCACGATGCACCCAGTGCTACAGGAGCCAGCAGATTGCAAATACTTTTTAAAAGCCCCCACAGATTATAAGGGAATTCAAAACATGGCGCAATTGTAGCTGTAAACGGAAGTAGCAAAACATACCAATTACTCTTTGATATCTCTGTTACTTCGGTTTCTAAGACCACATGTACACATGCACGTAGTTGATTTGGGATAAATTACTGGCTTTGCATTTTATGTGACCTGTAGAAATGGGGAATGTCCCCCTGCCCCACAAATAAATGGACTGTGTTTCCCAAGAACAGGATTCGAAAAGGAGAACACTGCTCAAAGATGAAAGGGGCAGATTGTTTTAACAGACTGATTTTATTCTTAGCGAAACAACCCAGATAAAAATTAACTGCACATGATGAGAAATCTGCTTTAAATACTACAGAGCTGTTTCATGATTGTCCCTTAAAGCTGGGAAGATTAGGGGGCATTTGCATATAGACTCTTCTGTAGAAATTCAGATCCTATTTACCTGTCCTAAACTGGTGGATCATACAACAAGACCAATTCTAAGGAAGCACAGTCTGAATAACTGAGAAGAAAATTAACTGATATTGTAAGTATTCTGAAGGCATATCTCTGGTTTTGGTCAACTGCAATCCGGAATTTAAGGATAGGATATGGAAAAGAAGATTAATGTTGAATAACATCCTGTCGTCGTTAGCAAGGGCTGAATCCCTCAGTAATAACCTAAGCTAAACAGAAACCTACCAGAAGTCCATCAGATAGCCAGAATATTATCTTTGGATACATTCAAAGTTTTTTTGTTTAAGAGGGAAAAAAATTATTCAATGGACATGCTGAGTGACAGCAATGACCCAGGAATTTAGGAACCTTCTGCAAATGTTCCTTGTGCCCTATTTTCATTCTGGACTTAGGTAGGCAGTTTTTCTTTGGAAATAAGTGAAAACTTTTTTTACATACAACAAATAGCCAGTTTCTTTGGATGACCCCAGTAACCGTAAATGTTCCTCCTCCCTTGCCCTCTCTGAGATCCAGGAAAGCATGCTGACTCAAGAACTTCTATTTTTTTTCCCCAAAATGTGAATTATCAAATATGAATCTATTAATGTTACAGTAATGTCTATTATTGGTTTAAATTTTTATTTATGTTGACTTGTATTGCCTGGGAAGCTCTAGATTTGACTCTTTCCTTTATTTTAATATATGGATAATTTACTAGTCCTGAAAGAAGCTATTTTGGCATAAGGTGATTTATTTTTTTCCCTCCTTGTCTTTCTTTTTTCATCCCTTTACAATGGACTTGAGTTGTGTTGGAGGGAAACTTCTCCATTGTATGTGGTTCCGTGGTTGAAACAATTTTGTGCTTAGTTTCAAGTGACCATATTATAAATAGAAGCCACACCACTTTTTTATGTGGGCTGGGGTATTTTTGTATCTTAAAGCATGATGATATATTTGAACAACAAATTAGTCATTCTGCCTCAAGAACTAGTCTGTCTGAGGTACGCCACAAAATTGTTTTCAAATTGTTTACCTGGTGTGGAGCCTACTGGAAGTAAAAATAGATTCTTGATTTAGGCTTGGTAACTCCTGTATTACAGTTTGGCTTATTCTGTTCCTTAACTGATCCCCGTGGAGCTGTGCTGGTCCAGAGCAGCAACACATCCTTACAGGTTATGGTCAGAGTGATTTTCCTGTATGCACAACTTCTCTGGACAACCTGTTCTAGTTTCTTACCAACCTCACCATAAAGAATTTCTTCCTTATATCCAATCTAAATCTACCCTCTTTCAGTTTAAAACTATTACCTTGTCACTACAGTCTTGGTTAAAAAAAGGGGCTTATAAGCCCTTTTTATGCACTGAAAGGCCTCAGTAGTGTTTCCCTGGAGCCTTCTCTTCTCCAGGTGAACACCTCCTGCTCTCCCAGCTTGTCTCCAGAGCAGAGGGGTTCCAGCCCTCAGAGCATCTTTGTGGCTTCTTCTAGACCTACTCCAACAGGTCCATGCCCTTGTGTTGGGGGCCCCAGAGCTGGAGGCAGCTCTGCAGAGTGGAGAAGAGGGGGACAATCACTTCCCTCGACCTGCTGGTCACCATTTGGATGCAGCCCAGGACACAGTTGGTGTTCTGGGCTGCAAGTGCTCATTCCTGACTCATACCCAGTTTTCCATCCCCAAGTCCTCTTGGCAGGGCTGCTCTCAACCAATTCATCACCCAGTCTGGGTGACAGTGGGGGACTGCCAGGGCCCAAGTGCAGGACTCTGGCACCCAGGTCCCCCTGGCTGGCATCCCTTCCCTCTCCAGGATCTGTATGCACCACACAGCTTGGTGTCATCCACAAACACTCGGAGGGTGCACTCAGTGCCATTAATAAAGGTGTTAAACAGCACAGATCCTCCAGGGTCACCACTTGCTACTGGTTTCCATTTGAACACTGAGCCATCGATAACTCTGGGCACGGACATCTGCCCTAATATTCCACCCATCAAATCCATACTTCTCCAATCTAGGAGCAAAAAATTTTATGTTCTCAGAGCCTTTTACAAAAATACCGTGCTCCCTGAAGTTATTTTAAACTATCAGTAAAATAAACTTCACATTTCATAAGCACGGAAATGGCAACACAAAGACGATTTCCAAAGTCTGAAAGCCTGCGAGCAAGGCCAGGGCCAGAATTCTGCATCCCCGCACTGTAATTGCCAGGCCATACAAGATAAAATACATGAAGTGCATCTATTTGCAACCTTTGGCATGCGTTTTCCAGCATGCTAAAAATATTTCAGGAGTTTTCTAGATTTCTAAGGTGTTTTCATGTACTGCAGCACATATAAAAAAGATTATAATGTAATTAATTTCTCATAGGAACAACAAGAATTATTATCTTAATGTTCTTTCCGACATCCTCAGGGCAAAGGTTGTCTATGACTGTGCTTCTTATTATTTCCATGATATTTTATACATATGTAGCTGAAAGGAAACAGTACAAATTCTGGTAATTCACTGAATCCACAGTTATCATTTCCTGGTAGGAACACACCAATACTTGCACTTCTTGATTATACCTGGAAACGATCTCATTTAAACATGACAAAGTGATAAAACATGTTGATAAGATCTTGAATCCTTACAGTTTCAGGTGTCTGCATGGTTTTCCAGCCAATTTCTTTGAGGAAAATTTTGAGCTTAAAATTATATATCAAGATGCTGCATTTTAAAAGTAAAAGTTTCCTACCTGAGGCTGCTGAGTGGCAGTGGGTCTCTGAGGAGATGGAATAGGAGTTTTGGACAACATTTGGTTCATTTTGCTTACGACCAGCTCAGTTATGTGCTGCCTGTCTTCGGTCTGGTGCTCCCCGATCAGAGGCATCGCACAGTCCATGACCTGCAAAATGAATCAGCAGCTACAGATGTGGCACAAAGGAAACTTTTTCCACAGCTGTTTGGAATGTCAGGTCATCTATTCACTTAATTGTTTTTAACAGAAGTCAAACACCAGCTGTAGAAATGGTACGTGCTACATCAGAAAATAAAGCCTGAGTGCAGGACACGGGGCAGCAGAGCAGGAGAGCAGCAACTTTGCAATGCCATCCCCTTCCAATCTTCATACAAAATTCAGTAGGACACCTGGGGATTCACTCTCTGGGGAATGGGACTCCAGTGGGAAGCACAGAGCAGATAAGGAAAATGAGATTTCTCAAGTTGTCCAGTGATCTGCTGAAAATCTGAAGCAACTGTTCTTCTGTGGCTCATTCCATGTTCATGAACTGAATTAGAACATGGACATGCAAAGTAGAACTTCCAGTTTCCTAAATATTTGTGGGGTTTTGCTAAGGAAGGCTGGATCCCCATTGATTCATGAAAAAAATTAAATAATACCTTGTTATTATTGATACCCTTTTTCAAAAAGTAGTGTGGTGGCAGTGCAGCTGATGCAAAGAAGAAGTAAGAGTTTCTACAAAGAAAGTAGGATAGCAGAGAGGAAAATAAAAATGTGCACATTTCCATTCTAAATGTGACAGGTTAATAGTGTTCAGTGGTTATTTATTGCAGCTATTGAGATCAATAAAACTAATACTGAATTTCATCACTTCAGTGGGTTACAAACATTTGTTATTTCTCCAGAATATTTTTTGTTTCTCCAGTGTATCTACTTTTGGCACATCTGTGTTTGTTTCAGGGGAAATAAAAGCATAACATAATAACCCCAATAATTATTCACAATGGCACTGGATGTTCTTATTTCAAAAAATAATAGGATTTAATTTACTTCTGAGAAATGGTAATCCTTTTGCCATGTGCATCAAGACTATTCAGAAGCAGGTGAAGGTACGTCCATGTCATCTGCAGCCCTGTACTCTGGTGTTTTTCACAGGGATGGATCCCAAGGGACGCCCATATCTCCACTTTAGGGACAATGGTTGAGAACCTCAAGGCACTGACTACAGAAGTACAAGATGAAGAGAAGAAACTCAGAGAGGAGATGAAGGAAAGCAGCTTCCACATGTCACCAGTGCAAACCAGAGCCTCTGAAGTCAGAGCCAGACATTCCCCAGTTAGAGAGAGTGGACAGACAAGAGCTGAAGGAGAGAGAAAAAGGGAAGCCCATGAGAGTAAGTGCAGTACCAGTATCTCAGGGACAAGGGTCTGACCCACTAGAAGGTTCCTCCTGAATGCACTCACAGGGAAAGGGCTGTGATGGCCCCAACCAAGACTAGTGTTAGAGGGGCCCTGTCTCTAGCCAGGTAGAGGCACAGGACAACCCTGCCTACTGGACTGCGTGGATCTGATGGCCTGGCACGTCAGACCCACAGGAATACAAGGCATAGTTGACACTGGCCCTCAATGCACGTTAAAGCCCTCAGAGACCATTTCCACTTCTGGGGTGACTGGAGGGTCTCAAGAGTTGACCATGGTGGAAGCTGAGGTGAGCTTGACCAGGAAGGATTGGCAGAAACACACCATTGTGACTGGTCCAGATGCCCCATGTATCCTGGGCATTGACTACCTCAGGAACGGGTACTTCAAGGACCCCGAGGGACATAGATGGGTTTTTGGAACAGTTGCTGTGGAGACAGAGGTGGCTAAGCAGGTGAATTGTTACCGGGCCTCTCAGAGAGCCCTTCTGCTGTTGGACTGTTGAAGGTTGAAGAACAGCAGGTGCCAATTGCCACCACAATAGTGCATTGCCGGCAGTAACGAATGAACCGAGACTCTGTGATCCCCATACATAAGATGATCCGTGAGCTGGAGAGCCAAGGGGTGGTCAGCAAGATCCTCCCACCCCTCAACAGCCCCATCTGGCCTGTGCGTCAGCCTGATGGAGGATGGAGATTGACTGTGGACTATCGTGGCCTGAATGAAGCCACCCCGCCACTGAGCGCTGCTGTTCCAGACATGTTGGAGCTCCAGTATGAGCTGGAGTCCAAGGCAGTGAGGTGGTACATCACTACTGATATTGCAAATGCATTCTTCTCCATCCCCTTGGCAGCAGAGTGCAGGCTGCAGTTTGCTTTCACCTGGAGGGGTGTGCAGTACACTGGGAACCAACTGTCCCAGGGGTGGAAACACAGTCCCACCATCTGCCACGGACTGATCCAGGCCACACTAGAGCAGGGTGAGGCTCCAGAACACCTGCAGTACATTGATGACATCATCGTGTGGGGGACACTACAGAGGAGGTTTTTGAGAAAGGAAAGAAAATCATCCAGATCCTCCTGGGAGCCGGGTTTGCCATAAAAAAGAGTAAGGTCAAGGGACCTTACTCTCTGCCCGAGAGATCCAGTTCCTGGGGGTGAAGTGGCAAGATGGACATGGTTAGATCCCAACAGAAATCATTGATAAGATCACAGCAATGGCCCCACCGACCAGCAAGAAGGAAAGGCAAGCTTTTCTGGGTGCCATAGGTTTCTGGAGGATGCACATCCTGGAGTACAGGATCATCATAAGCCCTCTCTATCTGGTTACCCGGAAAAAGAATGATTTCCAGTGGGGCCCCGAACAGCAGCAAGCATTTGAACAGATTAAGCAGGAGATTGCACACGCTGTAGCCCTCGGGTCAGTCAGGACAGGACCAGATGTGAAAAAGGTACTCTACTCTGCAGCTGGGGATAAGAGTCTTTCCTGGAGACTCTGGCAAAGGTGCCTGGTGAGACCCGAGGCCGCCCACTTGGATTCTGGAGCCGAAGCTACAGGGGATCTGAAGCCAACTACACCCCAACAGAGAAGGAGATCCTAGCAGCTTATGAAGGAGTACAAGTTGCCTCAGAGGTGATTGGCACAGAAGAACAGCTCCTCCTGGCACCTTGACTACCAGTGCTGAGTTGGATGTTCAAGGGAAAGGCGCCCTCTACGCATCATGCCACTGATGCTACATGGAGTAAGCGGATCGCTCTGCTCACACAGCGCGCCCGTATTGGAAATCTGAATCGCCCTGGGATCCTAGAAGTCATCACAAACTGGCCGGAAGGTGAGAGTTTTGGTCTAGCGGATGAAGAAGAAGGAGAGCAGGTGGTACGGGCTGAGGAAGCCCCACCGTAAAATCAACTACCAGAAGAAGAAACACGCTATGCCCTTTTTACTGACGGTTCCCGTTGCATTGTAGGGATGAAACGTAAATGGAAAGCAGATGTATGGAGCCCCACTCGACAAGTTGCAGAAGCTACTGAAGGAGAAGGTGAATCGAGACAATTCTCAGAGCTCAAAGCTGTCCAGTTGGCATTGGACATCGCTGAACGAGAGAAGTGGCCAAAGCTTCTGACTCGTGGATGGTTGCCAATGCTCTGTGGGGGTGGTTGGACAGATGGAAGAAGGCCAACTGGAAATGCAGAGGGAAACCCATCTGGGCCACTGATATGTGGCAAGACATTGCTACCTGGGTAGAGAACTTGATTGTGAGAGTCTATAATGTAGATGCCCACGTGCGCAAAGGCCAAGCCAATGAGGAACATTGCAACCATGAACAGGCAAACCGAGCTGCATGAGTCGAGATGTCACAGGTGAATGTGGACTGGCAGCACAAAGGATAGTCATTCCGGGCATGGTGGGCCCATGATGCTTCAGGTCATCAGGGCAGAAATAGATGGGCATGAGACCGAGGGGTGGACTTAACCATGGACATTATTTCCCAGATCCATGACTGTGAGATGTGCTGCCATCAAAGAGGCTAAGAGACTGAAGCCCCTGTGGTATGGTGGATGCTGAAGTAAGTATAGATATGGAGAGGCCTGGCAGGTTGATTACATCACACTGCCACGAACCCGCCAACGTAAGCGCTATGTGCTCACCATGGTGGAAGCCACCACTGGATGGCTGGAGACACATCTGGTGCCCCACGCCACCGCCTGAAACACCATCCTGGGCCTTGAAAAGCAAGTCCTGTGGCAACATGGCACCCCAGAGTGCATTGGACTCATTTCAAGAACAGCTTAGTTACCACCTAGGCAAAGAAGCACAGCATCGAGTGCATGTATCACATCCCATACCATGCAGTAGCCGCGGGGAAGGTTGAACGGTGTAATGGACTGTTGAAAACCACCCTGAAGGCATTGGGTGGAGGGATCCTCAAGAACTGGGATCAGCACCTAGCAAAGGCTGCATGGTTGGTCCACACCAGAGGCTCCATCAACCAAGCTGGCCCTGCCCAATCAGAGTCCCTTCACACTGTACCTGGGGACAAAGTCCCAGTGATTCACATGAGAGGTATCTTAGGTAAAACAGTTTGGATCAATCCTGCCTTGAGCAAAGGCAAACCCATTCATGGCATTGTTTTTGCTCAAGGATCAAGTAGCACATGGTAGGTAATGCTGGAAGACAGAGAAACATGGTGTATACCTCAAGGGGGCCTCATTTTTTGGTGAATTTCCCATAATATTTTGCCTGTATTTGTATGTAAATATTTGTAATATGTACACAGTTGGGGTAATGTAAGTATGTCTATGGTTGGAAAGTTTGAAACCGATATAGAGTGTTAGTATGGAAAAAATTCAGGGGTGGATGATGTCATAGGTTTGAAAAGAGACATTGGAATTTTTTCCTCAATGTCCCCCCACCCACCCCGGGACTGCCGGGACAGTTTGCCTTCAGCCTTCTCCCCCCTTCCCTTCCCTGGTTGCCCCGGGTTTCTTCCTCCCCACCTGGGGAATTGGGACATTGTTTTGTTTCTTCTGAAAGTTTTGATTGCACCATTTTTTTGTTTATTTGGGTTTTGTTAATAAAGAGCTGTTCTTTCCTTTTTCCACGCTTGCACCTGAAGTTTCTTAATTTCTAAGTAATTTGTTAAACTGAGACTCAAGTTCTTCTAGGAATCAGACACAAAAATTGGGTATATAAAAAGACACTTGGATTTAAAAGAACATGCACGTCCATTACGACACTGGAACATAA